AGGCAAATGAAACCAGGATCAGAATGAAAAGACAACCCACCAACTGGGAGAAAGTATTTGCAAATCATATATCCAACAAGGGGTTAATCTCCACAATATATAAAGAACTCACACAAATGAACGACAAAAAAACAACCCAATCAAAAAATGGGCAGAGGATATCAACAGACATTTTTCCAAGGAAGATATATAGATCGCCAATAGGCACATGAAAAGATGTTCAACATCACTAATCATTAGGGAAATGCAAATCAAAACTACACTAAGATATCACCTTATACCCGTTAGAATGGCTATAATCACCAAGACAAAAAATAACAAATGTTGGAGAGGTTGTGGAGAAACAGGAACCCTCATTCACTGCTGGTGGGAATGCAACTGGTGCAGCGTCTATGGAAAACAGTATGGAGATTCCTCAAAAGATTAAAAATAGAAATACCTTAGGATCCAGCTGTCTCACTTCTGGGTATTTACCCAAAGAACCTGAAATCAACAATCCAAAGAGGCTTATGCACCCCTATGTTCACTGCAGCATTATTCACTATAGCCAAGAAGTGGAAGCAACCCAAGTGTGCCCTGACTGATGACTGGATAAAGGAGATGTGGTACATATATATACAATGGAATACTACTCAGCCATAAAAAAAAGACAAAATCGTCCCATTTGCAACAACATGAATGGACCTGGAGGGTATTATGTTAGGCAAAATAAGCCAGACAGAGAAAGACAAACAGTGCATGGTTTCACTGATATGTGGAAGATAAACTAACACACAGACAGAGAGAACAGTCTGGTGGTTACCAGGGGGAAGGGGATTGGAGGGTGGGCATAAGCGGTGAAGGGAAGCATTTATATGGTGACTGACAAACAATAATGTACAACTGAAATTTCACTATGTTATCAACTATTATGACATCAATAAAAAAATAAAAGAAATAAAAATATATAACCATCTCTATCATTCAGACCATATATTTTCATCTTAATCAAAGAGATTTCAAGTAGGGCTCTGTCATATGTATTGCTGAAATTCTTAGACCATCCCATAGCATTCATCTGATCCATCAGGTGTGTGGCCCTATCTATGAAAGGTCAGACGAGGGGGCAGCCTTGTCACAGCTCTGTGGTTTATGGACTCTACTAATCAATATAAAGCTATAACTGTGCAAATCTAAAGATAGCTCAAACAAATAAAAATGAGTTTACTTGTAACTCAAGTTCAAATAACATCTGGACAACTTCAAACAACATCTGTTGTGGAATGAACTGTGCCCCCTCAAAAGATATGTCAAAGTCCTAACCTTGGTACCTGTGAACGTGACCTTATTTGGAAACAGGGTCTTTAGAGATATAATCATGTTAAGATGAGGTCATACTGGATTAGGTGGGCCTTAATCCTATCACTGGTGTCCTTAGAAGAAGAGGGAAATTTGCTCTTCACACAAAGAAGAAGGCCATGTGAATACAGAGGCAGAGGTTGGAGTGATGCTACAACAAGTCAAGGGATGCCAAGGGTTGCCGGCAACCAACAGATACCAGAAAGAGGTACAGAAAGATTCTTCCTTAGAGCCTTCGGAGGAAGCTCAGCCCTTCCCATACCCTGATTTTGGACTTCTGGCCTCCAGAACTGTTAGAGAATCAATTTCTGTTGTTTTAAGCCACCCAGTTTGTGGTACTTTGTTATGGCAGCCCTAGGAAACTAATACAACAACTAAGCAAAAATACGTAAGTTTGAAGTAATGCCTATTAACATCAGAGTCAAGAGCACTCAGGGAGTTGGTAAAAGAGTGGCCGAGAGATTCTAGATTCCTGAGCAGGCGGCAGGGGTGAGGTGAGTGGCTGAAGAACCTGGTCAAGCAAATTTGGGGGCACTCGCTTTGAGGCTATGGGACAGACAGGTGACACCCTGTGACAGGCCCATCACCAAGGAGTTCACTGTCCCTCCCAGGTGTGAGGTAGGCATTTCTCAGCAAAATCCCATCACTTTTTCATGGCAACAAATCAGAAATTCATCAGTTTATCATCAATATACAAGCAAAACCATGTTAAGCTTCCTGTCTCCAATTTGGCATTTTCCTTGCCTATTTTTCATCATTCTAAATTAGACAGCAAGCCACGCAGGGGAAGGATCTGCTGGCCTGTCTGTCTCTATATATAATGCCATATCCGCCATTTTCGAAGGTGCTAAGACTCCACTGATTGATGACGGTATTGCTAAAATGGTTACATTTTGAGCTGGAAAAAGGAAGGTGGTTTTTTTCCATGTGAAAACTGAGGGAAGGAAGGAGGCTTCCTTGCAGTTTCTAATATTGATCTGGCTCCAATGTCGCCCCATGACATATACACCTACAATGGCAAAACTCCTCACTGGAAAGACCTTAAGAGCTGCCTCCAGGAGCTTTCCCAGCAGTAATTAGAGGGATGTATTATCGCTAATTCTGAACACACTGGGAGCTGGGTTAATTTTGAAAGATAAAATAAAAGTGCTGCCTTGCGGCTAAAGGCCACTTCTTGGTGCCATTAAATCAAGCACAGCCCCGCAAGAGCATTAATTCTGAGGATGTCTGTACCCCCTGCTGATACTCCTTTTAGGAAGTTACTATGGAACAGGCCAAATGAAGCCTAAATGTGCAAATACGATTTAGCAAGTACAGATAAGCTGGGCTAAATCATGCTCAGAGCACTTAAAAAAAGATTCAAATTTTAATACATTAGCACGAGAACATGCTGTACAAGCAACCGGGAAATTGCAGTTGTCAACGTGTGAATTTAGTCTCAGGGTAAGTTCACCCAACGAAGTAAAATCCCAATTTAGATTCTTTTTCTACCCCCTCCCCCAATCCACGTGTTTCTTTCAGGATGGGGGAGGACACTGTTACTCAGCAAATGTATTTCACACCAAGAAATGGTTAGGGTATATTCATCAGGGGACAGGATGTGAAGTTCTCACTTTCTCACTAAAATAGTTTGGAGTGGTCCTTCAAAGAGCCAAACCACAAATGACTGGCAAGATGTCTTGACGCACATGTGCACATGCACTGCTGTGTAGATAGATAGATAGATAGATAGATAGATAGATAGATAGATAGACAGACAGACAGACAGCAGACAGACAGACAGACAGAGACATCTGTGTGTCTCCTTCTTAATGAGAAACGATTCTAAAGGGAAATCACAGGAGATTTTCTGTTGTCCTTTCTAGAAAGCCTGTGTGCCCATTGTTGCAGGTGAATATGCGTAGGCTGCAGTGTCCTGGGTTGAGAGCACATTGTTGGGAGGGAAAGCCAGCCCCAAGGCCTCACCAAGCCAGGCTAGGTGGGAGAGAGGCCTCAAGTATACCTGGGGGCTGGATAGAGACCACGGGCTTGGGAACCCCCCAGGCCAGCTCTGCTGATTTGAAACTGAGCGGGATTCCAGTTCGAGTTTGACAGGCTGTTTTCTACATCAAAGCAACAAATGAAACGTTAATTTCAGAACACATCTGTTCTCTCGGACCATTCTACCAGAAGCAGCTATTTTCTTTAAATTGAAAGTCAAGGCAGTTGGTTTTACTCAAAACTGTGCTGTCGGCTCTTCTGCCTGACTCCTAACAATTCACTTGTTCTGCACAATAGCAAAGCTGTCTTATCCTGAAGAAGGGGCTGGATGGGGAGAGGCCCTCCCCAAGGACACTAGATGCGTGATAAATTTACGTAAACTCTTGCGCCCAAAAAGCACATCCATCAGAGATAAAGATGGAACGTACTTAGAAAAAACTTATCTCGAGGAAAGAGATACCAAACCACTCCTCTAGTTAGGATCTCTGAACCAAAATAACTCAAATCTCTTCAAATGACACTTCTGTCATATTATCTATCTATCATATCTATCATATCGTATATGCTTTTATTGGGCATTTGAATTTTCCATGATAAAGAGGCAATCTTTCTTATTCTTATCCCTCCCTACACACCCTAGGTCATTTTTAAATGATAAAACAATTGTAGTATATTTATACATGTAGCTGATATGTATATATGCAAATAATATAGATACTCTACGTGAATATACATCAGCAGTGTTAGAGTGGGACCACTGCATCACATCACTTACTCTATTATGTTAGTGTTCAAGTATTTCTCATCCACTTTGTCAAAAGCTCACTAATTTGTTTTTCCTGCATTCATCTAAGCAAAAAATTCATTATCACTTCAAAAGGCATTTCCAACTATCTAGAATGTGAATTGTCAATAAATGTGTAATATTTCCCTAATTAAATTAGAAGTGATATTATCAAAGAAAGGTCTCTTTGTTCAGTGCAATAATCTTTCCTGTGATGCTGTTAAGATTCTATAGCATCAAATGCTATAGAATTTATAGCATCAAATGATGCTTTATAGCATCAAAAAAATCATTCTTGAAGTCACAACCTTTCATATTCATTTCCTAAGATATGTCTTTCCCTCTTTAACAACTGTCCCTTCTTTATGAATTACAGAAAATCACATTTCATTGTTAATGGATGGACCACTGCCCTCTTCTTTTTTGGATCCCTCACAGATGCTAATGACATACAAATTCTGAAGTATTTAAAGGAAAAGGGATACCAGGCCACTTTCCCAGTTAGGAACTAAAGGAGGCCACGTGAAAGCCGAGCCTAGAAACACACTCAATAATTTTATGATTACAAATCTCTCAACTATAAATTTGGGAAAAATATATAATTAAAAATGTAAAATCTGCACCATGGTTTTCTACAGAATATCAATTTAATTATGAAATGGTTATAAATTAGCCATTGGTAATTTACTCTTCTAAATGATTTAAACTTTCCAATGATCATTTCATCTGTTTTCTATATAAAAAAAAAATCAAAAGAAATTTGAGATATGGAAAAGACAGGCTGGTCGAGGATCTGAAACTGATTTGGTAGCTTTGGGGTTGACATAATCTTGGCCTGGTGCAGCTCATTTTGGAAAGCTGCCTCAAATTTCCCTTGGTTTTGAACTTTTTTCCTTACCACTTTCATCTAGCAAGAAATCATCCTGGTAACGGAACTTCTCCGGTCCACATGCAATAAAAATGTCATCGTCACCAAAAAAGTCCTGAAGGCACACCACCTACAAGAGAAAAGCATAGCACTCAGCAAGGGGTCAGCAGAACAGCAATTACACCAACGCATCCCTGCCAGTGGACGCCTGCATAAAGCTACTTCCTGGCTAATGGAATCAACGGGCAGCTTCTCCAGGGGCATTTCAAAAGAAGGGTTCGACCATCTGTTACTAGTAAGAAACATGTTACGTTTCAGTTGTGCAGGAAGACGGGATAAGGAAAATAGAACCAGTAACTGTCACATTTATTACTTGATATATCAATAGGCTATGAGGTAAGAGCCCTTTATTTTCATAATAGAGTGAATGCAGCAACATATGGAAAAGGAGTGCCCCTTTATTCTTCTGAATGTAATATTCCTTGATAGCAAGAAAAGTCAGCACATGATTTTAGCAACAAATATGTCTTTTAGTAACTGATGTCATAGTACACACATAATGATCACTGTTTGGGGTAAAAATTGAAGAAAAATATTTGTATCATGATACGAATATAATGATCTCCTTTAGACCCCTTCTACCTCTAGTTGAAACAAAAATGGAACCCTTCACAAAAGGAGTAATAGAAATTTTAATTTATTGCTGAGCTTCAGATATGCAGACTATGGTAACTATATGCCTACCACTCAGGCTATGCTAAACTTTAAAACTCCCATGCTGCCCAACTTCTTGTAGTCACGCAAAATGAAAGTTTTAAAACAACCTTTTGATATGTATTCAACTTATTCTTCAATAAGAACTTAAAGTGAGCTAAATGTCATTTTTCAAGTAAATGTGGTCAAAATGAATAATTTCAAGCACATTGCTCTCTGTCTTTGGATATGTACTGTAATATTTTGTTCACAATATGTATAATAATAACAGAAGGCACTGGGAACACTGCTGATTTCTATCTTCAATTTCTCCTTACCACTTGGAGCAAAGCAAAAAGTGGCCACTTGAAGGCACCCATTCAGAGCCGTATGAAATAGACTTTCTAATAGCATTTTCCCTTGGATGTCTGAGGACCACGGACAAACCTTCCTGGGGGTGTTAGATTCTCTTGGCCTCTGTTTACTATTAGTTCCTCCCTTATTTGTTTGCAGTTCTACCTGCAGGGCACCCCTGGGGTTCTGCTCTTTGTCAATCCCTGGTAGCACTACCCTGACACATCAAAGGTGCTGTAAGACTTACAGTAGGAAGTTGGGAGAACACAGCATTGTTTAGAGTGCCCAAACGCAATGACACGTAGGCTTCAGACAGTCTTTCCAAATAATCTCTCATTTCCGAAGAATCCCTGGGCTGAAGTTTTAAGAATGAAATTGCTGTAACAGTTTGATAATAACCATTAAGTATGAGTGAGTTACATCAATGGTTGTCAGTGCTTATTCTATCTGTGAAAGCTTGAAAACATAGGTGATTTAAGAGGGACATTGTAATCATCGAGGAAGATGGACCAAAAGTCTTCAAGAGTGGTTATCCGAAGCTCTGATGTTCTCCTTAGGTTAAAAACAGTGAATTCAGAACCCACTCTCTGTTTCATGCCTCTTCCTGTCAGATTCCAGGCATGACTTGTTCATTTTTACCCTCATGAGACAGTACCCCCACCCCAGCTTTCTTGATCAGTGTGGTGTCATCCCAACCAACCTCACACAGGCCATTTCCATTTTACATGCGGAAGTCTTCATTCTAACTACTACATGCCAGTTAGTACATAGCATACACACACCAAAATGAATAAGACACACAGGCATGTCTCTCCTTCAGGTAAAAATGTGAACCCTAAAAAGCAGTATTTCCTAAAGTGTGTGTGGTTAACACGTTTTGTGCGAAAAAGTGTTCCATGGCCAAATAGATTGGGGAAATATTGAGTTTAACTAACGTAAACAAGTTTCTGTATTTCTGGTCTTCTCAAAATCTTTAATGCACACCACAACTCCAAAGAGGAAATACAAAAATCCTGTATTTCCCAAACTTATTTGATTCTGGAACTCTTTTCTCACGCAACATTTTATGGACTAGCGCTTGACAGGGTTCCCTTTGGTACTGTGCTGACAGCCACAGGTGGAAACACACAAAGGAAAGGGCAGTTACCCACTCCCCTCCTGGGCAGCTATATTTCTCTAGCTGATAAATATTTATTTACTAACGTTTTTACTCATTCAAACATTTATGATGGGCCTACTCTGTGCCAGGCTCTGTGCCACACATTATGATGACAAATCTCTGATAGATGAAAAATATTTTCCAAAGGAAATTGTTCTTTCTTTCCACATAGTCCCATTATTTGCATTTTAGAATATCAGATTGCTAACCAGATCACATTCATCTATGCATGCATGTTTTATGCTACTGCTAAGTGGACAAATAGCTATTGTTAAAACCATAACACATTATAAGCAGGTTGCTAGCCAACTCCTTTCCATCATATACCAATGATCGTCCTCTAAGCCAGAGACTCAGAGAGCAGAACGACAACGATGGAGCTTGGACAATTTAGGTTTAATTCTGTTGGCAAGTGGGAAATGAAACATGATGAACTTTTGAAGTTGTTTCAAACTCCACGATTCCAAGAACTTAAAAGGAATACAGTAATTGTTAAGGAAAAGTAACTGTCATCACCCAGCACAAAAAGACAGGGAAAAGTCATTTCAGTGCCAAGCAACATGTATTCATTCACTTCTCCATCTCCAGTGACTGAAATCAAAGAACTTGCTGAACTATCAGAAACTGTGATGTTTTCTGTGCTTTCAGCTCTGGCATCATTTAGCTATTTCCCTGCTCACAACCTCCCATCAGAGAAGGTGGGTATGATCAGTAGACCAAACACAGATTTATAAAACTGCTTCTTGTTAGAAGCCTTGGTAAAAGATTTGATAGCAAAGGAGGTTTAAACACAAAGTTACAATAAAGATGGATTTAGAATAATCTGTGCACTTCAATTATCCACACTCTCACTCTCTATCATTGATCTAGAGATAGCTGTAACGCAGTCCATCTAACTAAAAAGAATAACAGAGGAAGATTTATAACTCTTTTCTCTAGGCTGATATACTTTGAGAATTTTTCTTTAGGCATTACTGTACATTCTGATATTAAAGGATTAGAAAAGGCAGAGAAGTTTAAAACCAATGTTTTGCAAAATGATCTAATTTTATATGTCCACATAGTGTTATTCCTTTTTAAATTTGAGGTTTACAAAATTCAGTGTGGTAACCAGCTTTAAAAAATAAGTTCCATTTATGGATTAAAAAAACACACTCCTTGCTACAATGGGATAGTGACAGTTGACCTATTCTTTCATGAAATCTCTGCTCAGTAGGTCTCATATGTTGGAAGCATCCACCAAGACTGGACACAGGGAAGACACAAAGGCTGAGAGATCAAGTTTGAGAAAAGAGACATGTCCACCCAGCAGAGAAGCAGTGCCTCCCTCTCCAAGCTTCCCTGTTTCACCATTCTTCTCCTGGCCCCCAGAAGAGTTCATATTGTCAGCACCTGCTCTTCTCCATTGTCTCACTGTGGCCATAGATTCTGCCTCTGCAACATCTCTCAAACCCAGGCCTTTTTCTGTACTCCCTCCCTTTGGCCGCATCTGGCCATGTCAGTCCAGAGCTTATCCTCCTACCCATGAACGTTGGCATTTCCTTCTTGTAGATTTTCTCACCCCCACTTCTTTTCTCTCTAATCCATCCTGTTTGATTCTGTCAATCTACTCTTTCTCAGTAAACTTTCAAAATCTCTCTCCAAGGCTCAGAAAAACATCAATGGTTTACCATCATCAAGTTAAAGTTCATTTTCTGAGTTTTCCATTCCAGACTCTTCAAAATCTGGTTCCAACCTACCTTTCAAGCTGACAGTAGTTTTGGCTATGACATGGCACCTGATATTTAACAAGCATTTGTTGGATGGATGAATGGATGGATGGATGGATGGATGGACATAAGTAAGGATTATACTCTAACCTGAAACATGATCCAATTCATCTGCTTTATTTATTCTTCTTGGAAAAGAGTTTTTTCTTTCCTACTAGTGTGGTTTTTAATATAATTTTTTTTCCATTTGGTATCCCCTCCTACCTAACTCTTTGCCATTCAAATCCCTCCTATGACTCAAGGCTCAGTTGAAGATTCATGCCTTACCTTCTCTATCCATTCTAATCCACAATGACTCACCCCTGCTCTGAACCCCTAGTCATCATTCAGTAAATGTTTATTGAACACCAATTATTTGCCAGCTACTGTGCTAGGCCTTGAGAATATGACTGCTCTCACTCTTCACTTCTTCTTTTCCATACCTATATCCCAGACTTACAGTCTAAAGAATTCCTAACACACCATTGTGAACTAGTAATTCAGCAGAAAGTGACCTGCATTACCTTCCAGTGGTTTTGTCACGGGCCTGGAGTCAGGTGGTGCATTTCAGCCCTTTCTCTGCTACCACTGCTGACTTGGGCAAGTCAGGAAACCCCAGTCAGCTATCTTGAAACATGTCCTGTTTCTAAAGATCCTAAATTTAGTCAGGGCCGAGGCAGTGTCTCCTATTGGGTCTGGTTCTTCAGCATCACGAAGACATCTGCTCTGGCACAAATTCCCAAGAGCACAGCCCTCTCATCAAAACCCAGGTTCTGATTTACCCAGCTCTACCACTTAGATGTTAATCTCTTTGTGCCTCAGTTGATTATATTGGTTCTTTTAAGAATTAGATGAGTTAAGATCATGTATTGGAAGAGAATAAGTTCTCAATAAATTTTAGCTATTTTTATTAACCTAAAAGTATTTTTACTTCCAAATAAGTATAAATCAAATGGATATCTAATATAAACAAATAAAAAGTTTTAAAAAACATTGTATGATGGGGCAGCCCCGTGGCCTGGTGGTTAAGTTCAGCACACTGTGCTTCGCTGGCCTGCGTTCAGTTCCCAGGCACACATCTACACCACTTGGCGGTGGCCATGCTGTGGTGGCGACCCACATACAAAACAGAGGCAGACTGGCACAGGTATTAGCTCAGGGCACATCTTCCTCAGC